TTAGAATAACCTATTGTAGATGTAATGACAGATTCTAGATTTAATAAAAGATTGTAGACGTAATAACAGATTGTAGACGTAATGACAGATTGTATATGTAATAACAGATTGTATATGTAATAACAGATTCTAGATTTTCTTTTTCTTATCTTAAAGAATTTTGAGTAATGTTCATGACAGTTTCTAAAAGTTTAAAATTTATTTTTTTCTGAAGATTATTGAAAAGAAAGAAGGTTTGTTTCGTAAGAACATGATGGGTAAAAGGGTAAATTATGCTGCACGTTCTGTCATATCCCCCGATCCCTACATTATGGTGGATGAGATAGGTATTCCTGATGTGTTTGCCAAAAAACTGACCTACCCACAGCCTGTAACGCCCTGGAATGTACAGGTTCTTCGACAAGCTGTTATTAATGGGCCCAATGTTCACCCTGGGTAAGTGCTTGTTTTTCAGTTGAGGATGCACATATAAAAGGTCAATTAAGGTCAAAGTGAACGAAGTTCAACACCTTAACTATTAACTCTGACTATGGATAGGTGCATTGTACCCAGTACATAATCACCAGAATAGTCATGTTATAACTTTTATTAATGTGTGCTTATTTTCACCAACACAAAATATAAGGTTTTTTTAATTAACTCTTCACCCTAGATACCCTTTTAAACACTTTTCTGCACAAATTACTGAATTACATTAAAAATTTAATTAAACACCTTTACTCTTAATGTATTTTATGATTCAATGTTTTATATTATCCAAGTTTAATTCCCTTATTTCAAATGAAACCTTTAAAAAAATACTTGAACTTTAGTTTTTTGTTGTCACATGATCCACGAGTTATGAAAAATCGCAACTTTCATGCTTTCACTATTGATTTGAATAATGCCAGTCCTGTAGGTGTATGTCTAGACAATCAAGTTTGTTTACTTGCCCTATCGACAGGTAAGTTTCAAAGTTTTCTAGCTAAATGGAGTAGAAACAAGTAACAAATTTTGTCAACCCCTGATGGGTGCTGTGCCCATCTTCTGTACTTTTGCTTGAGTTTTATAAAATACGTGTAGTTCCTACATATACATGTATATAGTCATTAAAAAGAGCTCATTCTACACTATAATCTATCAACGGTTATTTTGAAACTGGCACATCATCTGGTAGATATAACTGCCTGTAATACGTTGGCTGCTTGATCCCCGATAACACTTAGTTTTTTTTTAGCTAAATGTGTTATAGTTACAGAGATAGTTAAATTGTATTTAGGTCTTACTTTTATATCTTGGTTTAAACATTTTTTACGTATGCATCATACCTTGCGTCAGGTCTCAAGGCTTAAGATAAATTTCCTGAAGGGTTGTGCGTCTCTGCTGAAGATACTGTAATTACACCCCGAGGTCACTGTTGACTCGTGCCGAGATGAGTAGTAAAAGGTAAGCTGAAGATACTGTAATTACACCCCGAGGTCACTGTTGACTCATGCCGAGATGAGTTAGGGTTGTGTGTCTCTGCTGAAGATACTGTAATTACACCCCGAGGGCACAGTTGACTCATGCCGAGATGAGTTAGTAAAAGGTAAAGGACAGGAGAGGAAAATTAACTATATATTTGAAAAGACCTGAAATTACAAATATGACCAAAAGAAGTTATTTTTATGTAAATTTTTTCTTAATTTTAAACATTTCATTGCACTGTATGTTGATGATCATAACTAGAGTTAGTGATATGGTAGAGAAAATTGAAAATAAATTATAAACATTCAACTTAAAAAACTTTTGATATTCATTTAGGAGGTTCGAAAAGTTATGCAAATAAAACTTGAAAACTGTAAGATGAAGAAGGGTGTTTTTATACTTGAAATGAAAATCACCTTGCACATGAACTATTAAGAGTTTGTGTGCAAATAACTACAATAGATAACATATTTCTAGTAAAAACACTTAATTAAAACTGTCATTCTTTGTGTACAAGATACTTTAACAAAATCTTGCCAGTTTTTGTGAGGATAAGTTAAAAAATCTCAGAGTTAAGGTATATATATTTTTACACTCGTATCATTTTCCAAATGGGTTTGTTTATTTTACACGACCCATCTGAGAAAGAGTTAAGTATTACGATTTTTTAATTGAAGATTTGCTTGTAAATTTTTCTTTTGGAATGTTGACTATCTAGCATGCAAAGTCATTTTAATTTTAGGTTAAAAATTCATTCTAAGTAACTATCAAACGTTTTTTTTTTAGAAAAACTGTATATTTTATCTGTTATTTTCTCTGCTTTAACTCTCTATGAGGTTGGTGGATTTGACTGACCACCATAAAAAATTTGGAACTAAATTTAAACTACCTTTTTTTCATTCTAAAATGACTGCAAATTGTAAAAGGAAACTACAAATGTTTATTCTAAATAACTTAAATTTTGTAAGAGTAGACATCTATTTATATTTATTATTTATGGTTTTATTGACCTTTGAACTGTGTCTAACTAATAATCCTGCCACAGAAGTTAAAAATCACGCAGTGCATGTGCAGCTCATGTTAGCATATCAACTAGCATAAAACTGGCCTTTACATGTACAAGTGTCTTGTTCTTCTTAGTTTTAGTAGTAGTGTAACAGTATCTTGTAAAATACAGTAACATTTCAGTTACCGTACATTAAATATGTATATATGTTATTGCTATTTACAAATAAATTTTTAAGTTTCAGTTATTTCTTAAATCAAGAACAGTAAATAATAAACATATAGAAAACAATTATATCTACTACTTATGATGTTACGAAGCATTGTTGAATTTAGCATGTGGAAGATTTAAAAACCAATTTTTATAGGTTTTATATATGCATTTTGAAATAACAAAAATTGTAAATTACTATACCGATACTACAAAATTACACTGTAATTTATCAGGCTTGCTAACTAAGTTGTATTTGTGTCTAAAAAACCTCATTACTGATCAGCATGTCACCCCGACACCGTTCTTCAAACTCCTCAATAGTAATGATGTCATTACCCATCTAAATACTTTAAGAAGACTGACAGAATTACTCAGTTCAAATTGAGCTCTTTTGATTGGTTATAAACATGTACTTAAAAGAAGTAGCCGTAATTAAACAAATATTTTCAAACGAGGAAAAGGGGTGGAGCCGCTGTGGTGGGTTCCCTAAATATAATGATATTTCAGCATAAAGAAAAGGTAGGAGGATCTTATTTTATATTCCATCTTGTCAGTATTGGTTATTTGAGTTTCTAATTTGTTAAAATCAGACTTTACATTTTATGATGCTCACAATACAATCTGAGCAAAAGCAGAGGACAACGTACGATGTGGCATGCAAAAAAATCAATATTTAGTAATTTGATTTTTATATTTATTTTTGAACTAAGAAATTAAATATTGTGTAAGACAATTGAATTATAAACTTCAATTTGATTCCAAGTTTACGTATATACATTCAATAAATAGTAGTATAATGAATTTTTAAATGTAAATCTATTAAATGTGATGACGTGAACTCTGACCCCTGCCTGTATTGAAAGGGTTAAGGCATTAAACAAGGAAATTGAGTTAAGATTTTATACATTATTATCTCTAAGTTTGAAAATTAAAGTGTGCAAAAAATATACACTTTTCTTGCTCAAAGTTTAAAAGAATGTTATTTTTGTGATTATGTAGACATTTATGTATATCGTACTTGTTTTTTTTTTTTTCATGTTTTCCATTTGTGTAGAGCTGTTTTGGTGCAGAACGAAGATGGGTCAATGGTCAAGTTGAGCCCTAAGGATAAATGTCAGAGAGAAGCGATTGCAAAACGACTACTGACACCCTCCCATTCCTTCCACAGTGGGTTACAAGGCTGCAAGATCGTCTATCGACACCTCCAGAATGGAGATGTTTTACTGCTGAATCGACAGCCAACCCTACACAAGCCAAGTATTATGGCACACAGGGTAGGAAAGCAGTTCACACAAGTAGTGTGAAAACTAAGGGATTCAAAATTATGGTTCGAGGTCTTGCAGAAACATGCATTTACTTCATATATAATAATCTGTACATACCGTTTCCTACTGATTTTCTTGCCCTTTTATCATTTTCCATGATCTACCTTGATACAAATTAATTAATTCTGTACCATAATCTTGAATCCCTTAGTTTCCACACGATATTTAATTAATTCTATACCATAATCTTGAATCCCTTAGTTTCCACACGATATTTAATTAATTCTGTACTCTTTTCTGGAAAACCATGGCTGAAAGGGAAAAAAAAACAGTCATGACACTATTTCTTATAGGGTGCAAACTAATTTATAACACTGCTATTAATATTATGCAGTACAAGCATGCTTGTTAGGAGAATTTACAAGAGAATAATTTTTTTCCCCAAATCAGAACTACATTAAACAGATTTTAACGTTGGATTGATCAGATGATAATATAAATGGGTTTTAACATTGGATTGATCAGATGATAATATAAACGGGTTTTAACATTGGATTGATCAGATGATAATATAAACGGGTTTTAACGTTGGATTGATCAGATGATAATATAAACGGGTTTTAACGTTGGATTGATCAGATGATAATATAAACGGGTTTTAACGTTGGATTGATCAGATGATAATATAAACGGGTTTTAACGTTGGATTGATCAGATGATAATATGTGAAAAATAATGGATGATTTCATCTGTAGGCACGTGTTCTTCCAAAAGAGAAAACTCTCCGTCTCCACTATGCTAACTGTAAAAGCTACAATGCTGACTTTGATGGTGATGAGATGAATGCCCATTTCCCTCAAAGTGAGTTAGCCCGTTCTGAAGCCTACAACATTGCCAGCGTGAACAACCAGTACTTAGTTCCAAAGGATGGAACTCCACTCAGTGGACTGATTCAGGATCATGTTATAGCCGGTGTTCTACTGACCATCAGAGGAAGATACTTTACAAAGTATGAGCCAAGTTTTTTTTTAGTCTTGTAGAAATACCTACTTGTAGGTGAATGAGGTTTAGGAAAAACCAATGTTATGGTTAAGTTATCGTAACAGTTTCTGAGTGAAGTAAAGATGAGTGTATAAATAACATATCAACCACATTATATCTGTTATATCCAGTACTAATGAGGCCATTTAACCAATACCAGATCAACTGAGATATGACAGATATAGTAGTGATTGAGATTCTATTTATATTATCAAATTGTTTGAACAACAATTGTTTTAGTGTGAAGTGGATTAACAACCTGAAATGTAATTTCTATCAGTTTTATTTCAGTCACTGTACATCAGAAGCTTTTAATACTTTCAACCTGTGAACTTAAAATCTCTAAAACGATTTGCAACAAATTATAAAGTGATACTGAGTGTTTGGAATGTTACTAGCCAGACCTTGAAGAATGAACTTTTTATCTGAAGAAGTGTTTTGTTGTAGAACAGTGATTCTCAAACTTTTTTGCCTGTAGACCACTTCGGTGGGGTTAAAGATCCTGCAGACCACTTACTGGTCCTATCCTACCTGTTTTGTTCTCAGGTATGGCCTCAGGCTTGTCATTGTCCATCAGTGAGTTGCGTTTCGGACCAGCCTATGAACTGCCTGCAGGCCCCTGTGGACCACCAGGCAGACCACGCTTTGAGAACTACTGTTGTAGAAGACAACTGTTAGTTACCACTAGTTGAGTATCTGGAGAGAGTGCCCCCCCCCCCCAACTCAAATGTTATTTTTAATCTAAGATATACAATAAGGTATAAGGGTCTTTTTGTAACGAAACACAAGCATTTAAATTTTTCTACTAATAATGGCAAATTTTATGAGTAATAAAACTTTATAAATCATTTAAAGAATAAACAAAGACTAGAGATGATTTAGGTTTACTTATTATTATTATTTTCTGTATAATGTAAAGGGAAGACTTTCAAGAACTTGTGTTTGGAGCATTGACCTTTGTTCAGAAACCAATCAAGCTCCTGCCCCCAACTATCATCAAACCAGCAGTACTGTGGTCCGGCAAGCAAGTATGTTCATAATTTAATAATAATCATAATTAAATCCTCCAAGATTATCTAATCAGAGAAA